ACAATGCTTATGCTTATGTTCTTTTTGGGTCCCTAATTCAGGGCTCAGGGTTTTCAGGGTTCAGGGCCCCGAGATGAGAGTTTAGAGTTTGATAGGCTTAAGAAGTTTAGGGCATGCGCAGGGGGTACTCTGGAAACCGACACCTGGTGACAATTGAGAGTCCATATACCCATACAGTATGCACGTTGACCAGGAACACTGAACTTTTAAGCCCTAAACCCTAAACCCTAAACCTCAAACCCTTAAACCTAAACCCTAAACCAACTTAAAGGCTCCAGGGACTTCTCAAGTAACTTGTAAGTAGGATTACTTAGGATGTGCCTTTCCACATTTACCAACCAGAAACTACTTTCTTGTAGTGCCACAGTTGATTAAACAGCTAGGGCTTATGCAGGAACCCTGCAAAGCAGCCATGTTCTAGTAGCTTAAGGCAAGGTGTAGAAATCAGGGTTCCGGGTTTAGTCCAGAATCGACGGTGAACCAGGTACTTTAGGACTTCACCGAAAGAGTGACGCGAAACACAGCACGTCTCAGGTTCAACGGTTGGGGTCTGGCGCTTTGGTTGAAGGAAGACTCTTCAAACTACGAGGAACGAATCCTTAAGCCTTACGTTCAACTCGACTAGGGTTTGGGGCTTAGGGCTTAGGGCTTAGGGCTTAGGGCTTAGGGTTTAGGGTTTAGGGTTTAGGGTTTAGGGTTTAGGGCTGATCCAGGTTCCCTGGGGGCCAGCCCAAAACTTAAACCCTGAAGCCATGGAGACCAATGACAATTCAAGAGCATCCCCTGAACCCCTAAACCCTACTTCCCAACCCTAAACCTGCAACCCTAAGTCCTAGAACGGTCTCCTGTAAGCGTGCCCAAAAACCTCAACCCGTAAACCCCTAAACCCTGAACCCCATCCTATAAACTCCAAAATCCTAACTTACCTCTCCAATGAGCTAGGGAAACGAAGGTTAAACTTTCAGATCACTACTAAATTATAAGGACCCAAAACGTTTAAAGGTTAGGTATTGGGGAACTAAGCAAAGGAACCCATAAAGGAACTTAAAGGAAGCCCTGTAGAAACCCAAAACCCTTAAGGGATTCCTGTAAAGGAACCTCTATAGAAACCCTTAAAGCTAAGCCAAACCGTAACCCTAAACCCTAAACCCTAAACCCTAAACCCTAAACCCTAAACCCTAAACCCTAAGCCGTCCCCCCTTTAGGCTGCGCGCCGTAGACTCCAGCCGGGAGTCGCTTCAGAAACGGGCTGGGCTCTTCCCCTGGCACCGCCGTGTGAAGGGCGACGGGGGCTTCGGTGGATTAGGGTTTAGGGTTTCGGGGTTTAGAGGTTTAGGGTTTTAGGGTTTAGGGGTTCGGTGGTTTAGGGTTTTAGGGTCTAGGGTTCAGGGTTCAGGGTAGAACAGGCATCCTCCACACTAATCCCTAACCCTAAACCCTCAAACTGGAAGCGCCACAGTGATCGCTCAACAATATGGGTCGTATAAGGTTTCAGGGAAGAGGGTTTAGGGGAACGGGTTTTATGAAAGCTTCATAGGACGTTTAGAGGTTGCAGACTGGTATTATGAGGCAATGGTTTACAACACGGTTGATGATATAAATTCTGCATGCCTTAAGGGCCCTGATCGGTGGGAATTGTGGTACATTCCAGAAAATGGGTAATGCAGGATCTATACCTTCAACCGTATCCCCTTCAAATGGGAGCTAGGATTAGGGGGACCCTTGTGGGATATAGACCTTCTCAATAAGGTCCCTTTTAAGAGAGCCCAAAGTAGGGTTCAGAAGGGGTGCCCTTTGAGGGGTACCCCTAACAATACTACCTATCAAAGCAAGAGTACCCTGTTTCTGGGTCAATTTCTCAGAATTTCAGGTCCTACACCCTGACCCCAAAGCCCTAAACATGAAACCCAGACCCTAGACCCTAGACCCTAAACCCTAAACCCCCTAGACCATCCTACACCATAAACACTGAGTACTACTTTAGACACACAAAACCTTACCCCAAGAGCAGAACCCCTAAATGAAACCTTAGACACAAGAGCTGAACCCTAATGTAGGGGCCTTCATAGTTAGAATAGGGTTTTGGGGTATATACTATAACAAGGAACCCCCGAAAATAGTGTATAGGTAATTATTTAGGCCCCTACATTAGACCCTAAACCCCAAACGAAAGCTTCGACCACAGAACCCTAAACCCAAACCTTACTTGGAGGGTCGGGGGACTTAGTAACTAGCTATTTTATAGGCTTATAAGTACCATAACCCCAATTAGGATCCCTTTTAAGGTACTTATAGCTCTACTCAATATGGGAGTTTCCGAAAATAGGGGACCCTAATCTAGTACCCTAAATAATAGGATCCCTATTATAAGGACCCCCAAATAAGGTACCCCTATTTTTCGGAAACCCCCATATCTACTTACCAAGTCCCCCCCCCCCCCAAGTAGGCCCTATATCTCCTTCATTCATGGTTTGCAAGTCCTGCGGGGTTTAGGGTTTAGGGTTTAGGGTTTAGGGTTTAGGGTTTAGGGTTTAGGGTTTCATGAAGAACTACACCATAAGCCACGATATTAAGCCCTGTATACATTCTTATTCTTACTTCCCCAATAAGCCAGAGAAATCAAAAGGTTAAACTTTCAGATTACTACTAAACTATAAGAACCCAAAAGCCAGAAGCCGGAATAGCAAGGAACACTTTGAAAAAAAAGAGTATAGGTAAGCAGTAAGGCCCCTATACTAAGCCTCTAAATCTGCAAATCCCAAAAACCAGAAGCCGGAATAGCAAGGAACCCCTTGAAAAAAAGTATGGGGCCCATACTTCTAACCTTAGGGTTTAGGGTTTAGGGTTTAGGGTTTAGGGTTTAGGGTTTAGGGTGCAGATCCCAAAACCCGGAAGCCGGAAGGCCGACCAACGAGATTCATCAGGGAGCCCCAGCTGGGCAAAGATTGAGACCTCAGATGCTGGGCTGGATTTCCTAGATAATCTGGATAATTATATACCTATATATACATATGGGTTTAGGGTGTAGGGTTTAGGGTTTTAGGGTTTTAGGGTTTAGGGTTTAGGGTTTAGGGGTTTAGGGGTTTAGGGTTTAGGCATATACCCATAATTCATATTGACGTAACGATGCATGCATGCTTGCATAGTGTATGTGATGCATGTAACGTGTGTACTGTAGTTATTGTATGTGATGTGTACCAGTTAAAACATATGTAGGATGTATGTATGTTGCGTAAAGGACTCAAGTACTCTGTGTAATGTCATGTAATGCAATCCCAGCATGTCAACTCATCACAACTAACGAGCTAACTGATAAGCTAATAAACAACAATAATCATGTAATTATGTATCTATGTGCGTAAGACATGCTGTCTATACTCACATATACCTGCATATAT